ATCTATGAGTATATGTATGTTTTGTGTGATTTCTATGTGTATGTATATGTTCTTATGTGATTGTGGTGTTGGATCTAGTCAAAAAGGCCTTAAGACTGAGAATTTCATTAAGTTGCATGAAACTAGTATAAAATATATTATTACATACAAATCATTTCTAGAAAAATAACCAAGTTGGTTAAAGTGAACATCTTTGGGCTAAAAACCCATTTTTAGACTCAAAATGTTAAAATTATAAAACTAAAGGGCCCAAATGACAATTTACGAATTTTGATGGTTGGAATGAGTCAAAACAGTTTCAACAATTTATTTTCTGAAAATATACTCTTTTAAGGGATTAAAAGGTGAAATTTTAAGCATAATGGGCCAAAATGAACATTTCGGCCCAATAAAGCCCAATTTGCGAGATTTTCAAAATAGAGGGGCTGAAACTATACTTTTCTGTAAAACAGGGGACTACTAGTGTTCCAAGTCCATTTCAAGGGTTAAAAATGTTTTTCACATAAAAAAGGACCAAAGATGCAAAAATTTCTATTGTGGGCCAAAAGTGTAAAAATTGCGAAAATTTGAGGTTTCACCCGAGAAAACTTCATTTTGAGGGACTAAAACTGTTTTTCAATATAAATTTGAGCTGAAAAATACCTTTTCTACAAGTTTTGCTACTATAGTGTCAAGAAAAATGGTTTAAGGACTAAAATGGAAATTCTATTATACAAAGGGCCAAAATTGTAATTTATCCAAAAGAAAGGGGTTGCAAAAAGAAAAATTCTAGTGTTTTTAAATAATAAATCTATTATGATAAAATACTAATACCACAACTACCGGCGAAATATAATACACCTTCAACACCAAAATCGTTACCAAACGAATTGATTCAGTCTCGAATCCACAACGAATCCGATAATAATACTACGACGATACTTCAATACACACGCGGAAATTTCGGGAAGTCAATACACACGTGGGAATACACCAGACGTCGATACACCATCTTTGGGCCCGAAAGTTTCAAATCATGCTTGTTGGGCCTAGCTAGCCCAATGACATGATCTTTAGGCCCAAAGGAAACTCGCTTACATGTTGTTGGGTCTTATATGACCTAATTCCGTGTAAAAGGACTTTCAATGGCTTTTGTGCTGTTGGGCCCCAAGGGTCCTTTGGTATCGCTAGTAAAGTCGAGAATTCACAAATGCGGGTCGGGCCAAGGGCCCTTCGCATTCACGATAGCCTTGAACGACTTATGGAAATACCGGGGCTTTGTACCCTCTTTTCTCCTCGGTTGTGGGGCTATGCGAAGTCGGGGTGGTTGGATTAAGTGAATAATATGGACGACGCCTAAGGGATTGTTTTTATAATTGTAAACTAATCGTTTCATTAATGCGTGTTTATAACAATTCACAATCCATAATTAATCCAATGTCACATGGATTCATCAAATACACACGTCGCAACGGTACAACAAAATATAAAACGCATAATTCAAAGTGTTAGGAAAACATCGGGTTTTCCTAGGGTTTTCAATTCATACACCTACGAGATGCATACCAAGTATAACAATTCTTTTTACATTTATAGAAACAAACAAGCATACTTACGGATCTTCACACTTTTTATACAATACTCTTTTCAGGAAATATCGGATTTTCTGGTGGTTTTCAAAACAATACCAAACATTATATTTCAAACATTACTTATGAACTCACCAACATTTCATATGTTGACATTTTTCAAAATGCTTGTATTCTCAGGTAACAGGTAAATCGAAGAGAAAAATGTACTCAGTGATATTTTGTTGTTAGTTTAAAAAGAATCGAACAATCTACTTTTGGGAATGTAATGTTTTGAAACAATGTACTAAATGTAAACACTACCAGTTGTACTATTCCAATGCATGGTAATGAATGATGTTATGTTTCACGTATATTCACTGTGATGGTATTCAATTAAGTCACAACAGCCCTCGGATGTTTCCGCCTTCTGGTTCGGGGTGTGACATGCTATGAGATGATTGAGAGTGAATAGGTAACAACGGGGAGCTTATGAGAGATCTGTTAGAATGTGATAGAGTACTTGGAAATTGGGATTCGAAGAGGAGAATTTGGGGTGTATACTGAAACGGTGTGGACAGTAGTATTGGGCCCGTACTATTGAAAGCATCGGGGCGGTGTACGGTCCGAGTAAGAATCTTCGGAATGCCAAGGATCAAGGAGGGATGAGTTGTCGAGTGTGAGTATACTCGAATGGATTCTAATTTATCGTATGTTGTATTTGAGAGGTTGATCATGGTGAGGATACGTCATATGCCGGAGGGCGTTGGGGCTAGTGATGAGGAGATTCGTCAGATCATCCACGAGGAGGTGGCTGCGGCCATCAGGGCAGAGATACCAGAGATGTTCGGGTCTATTAAGACCACGCTGATTGAGACTTTCGATGAGCGTTATGCTGCTCTTTCTGAGGCTGTTGTTGCGGCGGCCACCACAGCTGTTGCTGCTGCGAGGCCGCAGGGTGGTGATGCGTTGCTGTTCCGGGAGTTCAGCAACACGAAACCACCAGAGTTTGATGGGACACAGGACCCGGTGGCGGCTATGAGATGGATTTATGACATGGAGGGGTGTTTCTTCACTTGCTCATCTCCTGAGCATTTTAGAGTACGGTTCGCGCTGAACCAGCTTCGCTTGGGAGCGAAGGACTGGTGGAAGTTTGTGACAGCGCACTTTTCGCCTGCTGAGCTTGCGGCGGTGACCTGGGAGAGGTTCACTGCCATGTTCCGAGATGAGTACGTTCCTCAGGTGGAGAGGGAGCGTTTGGCCCAGGAGTTTCTGACCCTCAAGCAGGGCACTGAGTCTGTTACGGTGATTACCAGGATGTTCCACGAGAGGGTGATGTTCTACCCTGAGCACGTGTCCACTGAGCAGGCACGTATGAGCCGGTATTTGAGTATCTTGAGGCGAGACATTCGGGAGTTCGTGGCGAACTCCTCGTACCGGACATTTGCTGAGCTTCAGGCAAATGCTCGGAAGAGGGAGATCGAGCTGGAGACTCAAGCTAGAGAGGAGGCTGAGTCTCAGGGGAGGGATCGGCGACCGGCACAATTCCAGCCGGCAGCCAAGCAGGCCAAGCCCGCGAATCCCAAAGTAGGGAGCCAGAAGGGCCGCACTTGTGGAAAGTGCGAAAAGGGTCATGACGTAGTATGTAGAGCTGGATCTTGCTACAAATGTGGCAAGGAGGGGCATATGGCCAAGGACTGCCCCAAGGGGTTTGCAGTATGTTTTCACTACAACCAGACCGGACACCGGAAGGCAGAATGTCCGCAGTTGCAGGGATCAACGCAGGGAGCACCTCAGGGATCTGCCCCTGCCGCCATCAGAGCTACCGAGAGTCGGCCAGTGAAGGCCGAGGCGCCGAGGGCACGCGGGAGAGCCTTTCAGTTGACCGCGGAGGAGATCCGCGCAGTGCCCGATGTCGTGGCTGGTATGTATTCTTTCGTGTATTTATTGTAATGTTGAGATATTATGCTTATATTATGTTATGCGTAGGTACTTTTCTTGTGAATTCTGTACCTGCCTTGGTATTATTTGACTTGGGTGTGAGTCGGTCTTTTGTATCTTTGTCTTTTAGTCAGCACATCAGTGTTAGTCGCGAGGCGCTGAGTCGGCCTCTAAGAGTTTCCATAGCTGACGAGAAGGTGATATATGCCATGGAGGTGATCCGTGGGTGTGTACTCGAGATTTTCGGTGTCGAGTTCCCAATTGATTTGGTTCCTATTGCCATGGGGGATGTTTGTGTCATTGTGGGCATGGACTGGTTAAGCAGGTTCGGTGCGGTTATCGACTGCGAGCGACAGCTAGTGACCATACGAGACCCTAGTGGGGGTGTTCTTACAGTGTACGATGAAGGTACCCGTTCAGGATCAACGTTTTGTTCGGCCGCTAGGGTGAGGCAGTGTCTACAGCAGGGTTGTAAGGGTTTTGTGGCGTACGTGTCGGATACGCGGGTTGATTCCAAGAGGCCGAGGTCGTGGAGGAGGTTCCTATAGTGCGTGAGTTCCCGGATGTCTTTCCATAGGAGTTGTCAGGTGTGCCTCCCGTGAGGAAAGTAGAGTTCGGTATCGATTTGGTCCTGGGGGCCGCGCCTATCGCTAAGGTGTCTTATCATCTTGCACCTCCAGAGATGCAAGAGTTATCCTTGCAGCTTCAGGAGCTGCTGGGGAAAGGGTTTATTCGGCCAAGCAGTTCGCCGTGGGGAGCGCCTATTCTGTTTGTCAAGAAGAAGGATGGTTTACACCGGATGTGCATTGATTACCGGGAGTTGAACAAGTTGACGGTCAAGAACCGTTACTCATTGTCGAGGATCGACGATTTGTTCGACCAGTTGCAGGGAGCATCTTGGTTCTCCAAGATCGATTTGAGGTCTAGCTACCATCAGGTGAGGGTGCGAGATGAGGACGTCTAGA